CACACACACACACACACACACACTCTCACACACTCACACACACATTCTCTCTCTCTCTCTCACACACACTCACACACTCACACTCACACACACATTCACACACACACACTCACACACACTCACTCACACACACACACACACACACTCAGTCACATATGGCATTACATAAACACAAGCTACTAGTGCGCGCGCCACTCCAGTTGTTGTAATCCCAATCCGCGTGTTTACGCGCGTGCGGGCGGCGAAGTCAAGAGAGGTCGTTTGACATCGCAATAATGATGCTCTCAGTCGCGTGCAAAGAGGTGCACTCAGAGCGCGGGAGAGTGGGAGTCCGGGATCGCGCGGACCCCATGAGACACTGAACGTGGAGACAAACTGCCTATTATTTAAACTCAATCTGGTATCATTCATTCATATCTGGAGCCTCACTTTTATTCTCCATATTTTGTTTTATTCCATTTTTATCTTTTTATTATACTCTTTTTAAATCCCTTTTTAATGTGTACATTACTTTACTATCTTATCTTAATGGTCCCCTTTGATGTCTTATGTGAAGCACTTTTAATTGCTTTGTTGTTTAAAGATATAGGCTACATAAATAATCTGCCCTCACCTCTACTGTATATGTGTCACAGCAGTGATGGTTTTACGTCAACATGTTTAAGGTTAATGAGACAGAGATAATTTGAGGGCAGGAAATGTGTGTGTGTGTGTGTGTGTGTGTGTCCCTGGTGCAGGGCTAATTTAGGCTAAAGGGGCCAACAGTCGGATTTAGGACAGGAAGTGGAACACATGACAGGCGACTGGTACTTGATAAAAAGAAATCCAAACTGTGTGTTTGTGCATGCTTCAGTGGTGCAGACACAGAGCCAGACACATCAGATTGGAATAGCAGACAGTTGTTCAGCTGAGAGTTGGTGTCATAGAGGATTAACCAACTAAAGGGGACTCTAAGGGCACAATGCTGGGCCTCTGCTCCGCTCAGCACCCTGCAACAATTGAGTTACGTTACAATTAGATTAAACAGAAAATGTATTTGAGAATATGAACTGTATCCACTAAAATAGTTAAGTTGTTATAAATAGAGCTGTGAACCAGTGCCATAGTCTATACAAAGTCTATTGAAGTTTACTCAAAAAGGTCAGTTCACATACAGCACTAAAAAAAGTGCAATTTTTAAGTAACTTGTACCCACAATGCAATGCACAAAGAGTGCTTATTTAAAATAAATTGCAAATCACGGTTACACAGCTCCAGAAAGAACATGGAGAACAAAACAATGATTGTTTCCTCGTTGTGAGCTTTAATTGACGTGGCTTTATTACGTCACAGTTTTATTGACGTTCAATGGTGCATTTACTGTGTACTTTTCCCTCTTAGAACAACACAATAATAAAAAACAATGTTGATTTCTTGTGCACTAACTATGATTATTACCACCCCGCAGTTGTTCGCCGCCGCCAACCAGTGAAGTTTACATCCAGGTCTGTCTAGACTCATACAATAAATGAAGTTTTATAACTAGGTTCGGCAACAAAGACCACGCCTTGCACTCATCTCATCAAAACGTACTGAAGCACACCTTATCTGTTCACTCCCTCTTTGACTCAGTTCCCTCCAAATCCTTTTCTTTTTCTCCCCCTTTCTCTTATCCAAATACAGGAACCACCAGGGATCTTGAAGAGATGAGAAGAGAAGGCTCCCCCACTCAGAGTCTTATCACCCACTCGGTTCCCTCCCACCACCTTAACGAACTCCTCCATCCATTCATCTATTCATCCCTCACCCTTCCTTCCCCTACCTCTTCTTCCCTCGTCCTTCCTTCCCTCCTACAGTTAACACATCGGTTCATTTATTCATTATGTGCAATAAACCTTTCTAATTCCATACATACATACTCATCAGCGTGGTCTTTGTTAGCAAAAGGCTATGTGGTGAATTTATTTTAATAAAAAGGAATAAAGTTGTTTTTTTTTTTAATTGGATTTGCCCCTATATTGATGATATATATTGATACATATGTATGATTCCAGTGAGTATACATTACACCAAGTACTTTATTATTATTATGTAAAGATAGATTCTTATATAGAGTAGAGCTACACAAAATGTGGTGCTTTTGTTTTCTTCTGGCACTTTTATATGTGACGGCTCTCTATGAACTCACTCACTCGAATTCAGTATCATTCAATTATGGCTAAAAACCATATATTTTGAGGGAATAATGACCTTTAATCTTCCACTAATTCATTGTGCGGCCAACTGTGAAATATGGTCTCACTCTCCCTTTCTGTTCCTGAGTTATAGTGTTGAATAATCGCCAAAAAGTATTTTCCCAGGACATCATGATGTCACAGTGAAGTGTTGTTAAACATCTGTGTGACAGTTTTGTCATAATTGCTGCATTAATTCTTGAGTTATGACCAAAAACGTGTTTGTTAAGGTGATTTTGAAGTCACAGTGACCTTTGACCTTTGAGTCAAAAGTGTCACCAATTGATTGTCCCAACAACTGCAAAAAAAATGGTAATCAATTCTTGACTGATGGCCAAAAATGTGCTTCGAGAGGTCACAGTGATCTTGACCTTTGACCACCGAAATCTAATCAGTTCATCCTTGAATCCAAGAGGATGATTGAGCCAAATCTGAAGAAATTCCTCGAGACATCACGTTCACAAGAATGGGACGGATGGACGGGCAGAAAATCCGAAAACTTAAAAACAGCATACTAAAGATAAGTACATTATACATATTTTATACAGTTAATACGTAGTAGGAAGTTTGTGACAACAAGACTGCAGCATTAATATGGATTCAGGCAGATAGAAATCATATTAGTGGCCTCGTCCACTAATATGATTTCTGTCTGGGTGAGGTCGACAGAGAATACCTTCTGTCCTCCGAAACAGTATTTCCAAGCAGATGTTACGTAGTTCCCTCACACAAGGAGAAACTTTCACTATCCACGTTGGAAATGAATTAAATGATCTTAAGTCTCGGAAGGAATTTAGCTTTAATATTAAGTTGGCAATAAAATATAGAGAAAGCTGCATTTTACAGCAATACTAGAAAAATTACATGACATAAGAGACACAAAATAATTGTATTTAATATATTTTATTTCATTCTATGTTACCAAGACATCACCACAGCAACGCATCGTCATGCATGTTTCATTTTTTCCATACGGTGTTTGTCTACCTGAATCCACGTGAATGCAGCATTAGGGTATGGGATTATCATCCAGGGCTGTCCAAAAAAACAAACTTGAGGGTTAGCAAAAAAAGGCATTAACTCTGGTGAATGATGTGTCTCTATAAGTATACATTTAAAAAATGAGCGCATCCCTCTGGTTACAGGGCGAGGGAGATGGCATATGTCAGGATTGGCCTGTTGAGCCATTTTCAACCAGTGAAATGCTGATTTTCATAAATTAGATGAGAATGTAAATATCACCACCAGCTGTGATGTTTAATTATAGTACAGTCGTATAGTTTAGTTTACGTGTAGAGTACCTCTGTAAAGCTAGCAAGAGACAGCTTTGGAAAGTATCCAACAACAAAACAAAAAACCCACTTCCTCTCCAAAGCCACTCCTCCATGCACAATGAGTACACGGTAGCCAATCATTTAATTCAGCCAGAAGGGCTGCGACAGCAACAGATACCGGATTCTCTTTGTTTTGTTTTTTCCAGAGCATTTGATTTATTGATTGCTGTCAGGATGTAAAGGGGTATTTCAACAAATAAAACACAAAATGCTACTGAAACACATTACCCATTCTAGCTGTAAGATTTTAAGTTATTAACATGAACAAAGATTTGCAAAATAGTTTTTCGTTTCACAGGACTAAAGACAGCAACCACGAACATAAAGTGATTTCAAGTATAGATGAGTAGTTAAAACTGCATTAATCAATACTGTTATATTACAAGTAATTCAAATTACTACATGTAATGGGAAAGGGGTCGTTCTTATTGACCAACCCACTGAGAATAATCATCAACTCTCTAAGTCTCAGCTGCTGCCAGAAGGCAAAAATTATAACTATAATTTAGTAACTCTCCAGCTGGTAAAGAAAGTTAAGCATCCAGAGTTGGTGCCAAAACCACAGAAGCCAAAGAGTGCCTGTGCTTGCAGCTATTTTGTCTTGTTATCTCAGTATAACAAAGTTGCATTCTCATAATAACGACTTAATTATTTTTTAGAAAACAAAAGGTAATTTTCTTCATTCAAATAAGGCTTCCTAATTTCATCCATAATCCATATCTAAAAAAACCAAACAGTTGCTTTCTCATGAAGATTAGGCATTTGTCACACAAAACTGCCCCCCAGATAATGAGATAATTAACCCATTATAACCAGAAAACAACTCTTTTGTTTTGAGATAATGAGATAATGAACTCACAATCCCGAAATAACAGGATTAAAAAACGTAAACGCAACAATGGTGGCGCGTGGCTTCCATTTAAAACAAATTAAAAGAGGAGAGAAAACTGGACATTTCATTCATCCTGTGTCGAGAAACGTTATATCTGTTATAGCTATAACATTAAAAGGCTGGTGATATGTTAGCTTCTTATGGTACCCTTCTATCCCCCAGTGCCTGAACATGAATTAATGCAGCTTTAAAAGAGCAGCAAACTGTATGTATGTATGTATGTTGTTGGACGTTAAAAACTGATGTATCTTGAAGGCAGTGGTGCAGCTGTTAATCAGGATCCGTTGAAACCGTGTCCTGTATACGTAGATAAGAAATGTGGAATTCAAACAATAACACGTGTCAACATGCGTACTGTGACACATACTATTTTCAAATTGTGTGCAAATAACTTTTGAACATTGAACCAAATACTCAAGCAATACTTGTGTTATTGTAAATAACACAAACACACAACATTTGTATTTAGTTATAATAAAAACAAAACAACATCTTGATGCAGCAACAGGCACTTAGCCCACACACGTTTATATACAATAAGGGTACGCATGAACATAGTCTTTAACTTGAGTGCTGAGTCCAGGTAGGGTTCTTATATTTTCTGCTCCATATGTGTGCGTAAGAGCCCTCCTGCACATCTGCTTCAGGCGCTCCGGACGCTGTTTGCGATAGGGCACCGTCAGCTTACAGGACGAGCCGGTGTAATAGGTGAGCAGAGAGAAGAGTGAAGCAAAAGTCCTGTGGCTGCCATACAGACTGAAGAGCAGGTTGTTCAGCTGGACGCGAACGCTGGTCGGTCCGTCATCGCTTTGGTAACTCAGAGTGAAGAAAACATCCGGCTGGCCGCTGTCTCTGCAACAACACAGGAGCACACAGTCACTCTGTGCACACTCAATGTCATTTTATAATGGTTTTTAGTGGACATGCAGAAGAGGGAAACAGTACTAGAGCACAATATATACATATGCTTATCCATTTTTTTTTTTTACTTTTAAGATGTTTTTAATGTAAAATGTAGATAGAGAAAGTACAAGAGCTACAAACCAACTCAAACTTCATTACTCGGGTAAAAAAAAGACTTAGTAATAGTCTTAGTAATAGCAGAAGTACGTATTCAACTTCTTTACTCAATTAAAGGTGAGAAAGTACAGGCTCTGAAATGTACACCAAGTATTAAAGTAAAAACTACTCTCTGGGTTCCTCTGAAGGACATTTCTACTGACGGTTTCTGTTCAAAGCTGAGACTTCAAATAGGGTCGAGTCTCCCTCTCTTGTCTGTTTTGTCTCGTTACACCTTTTATGTTCATGTTCGTCATGTCAAATGCATTAAAACTAAAGTAACGAAGCACAGATATTTGTGTAAAAATGTCGAGAGTAAAAGTAAAAAGATAAATAAGATAACGAAAAATAAATACTCAAGTAAAGTACAGATACCTGAAAAAAACTACTTAAGTATTTTAACCAATTAAGTACCGTTTTGCAGCAAGAGCATAAAAAGAACAGAATAAAACGACACAACAAATGTAAAAAGTAGTACCTGATGAGGAAGGTGCCCAGTGGTGCCTGTGAGAGTATTCCATGTGCCTCCTCCATAGTCATCGCTCCCCAGTAGTAACCACTGTGTTGGAGCTGCAGGTAAGTGTGTTTCACTAGTTTATACTCCTCTGCGCTGCTGAATGGACGGAGATGTGTGGGCAAGCTCTCAGCATCAGCTCCAGTCAGTGGCTACAGCAGAGAAGGTACTAGAAATAATCAGTAACCATGTACAGACAGCGGCATGAACTATGTAAAAAACAAAGACTGTTATAACGTTTCTAAAAGATCTTGTTATTGTGGTTTGTTTACTTATTTTTATCTTAATTTACTTATATATATATATATAAAAATATATATGTATCTCTTTTTATAGTGTATGTTTTTGTAAATAATTTTATTGATTTTGTAATTTTAACTGTCTTGTTTTTAACTACACTGTACAGCAACTTGAATCTATCTTTGTGTATGAAATGTGCTTTCTAAATAAACTTCCTTGTCTTGCCTAAAACTATATTAATAATAATAATAATAATAATAATAATAATAATAATAACGGCTGTTGCCTCTTGCAGAAAACGTAGAACTCGTTTCCCTTTGTGCAATTAGGAATTCAGGAAGAACCTCCCTGAATAAATCCAACTGGTTGCTGAGACGTATTTCAAATGACTTTAGTTTCACTTTTCCAACATTAACTTGTTGCTTTTTACAGTTTTATCCATATTATATTTATTCTGCTTTTAAAGTCTCTGAAGCAACTTGTAATGTTTGTTTTGAGAGATGCTGTACTGTATGAATAATAATAATAATAATAACAACTTGCAGATTAGAGACTCTGTTCAGACACTGTCAGAGTTGTCAGAAAAAAACAGACAATCTTTTTTTAAAAGATCATTATAAAAAAAAAAGAAAAAGAAAAACAACTCTCATGCCAACATTCAAAGTCCAAAGATAAACTCAGATATTTGACCTTTTCAAGCTGTCAGTGATAACGACTGCGATTTTTTGGGGGAAAAACCTCTCTTACATGTTTGTGGTTCATTTGTAGTGGTATTATTACAATTCGTAAACATTATTTGTCTTTGGCTGGAACAAAAATCTATAAAATATCAATAATAATATTATAAATCATTATTGTTGTTGTTGTTACAAAGGGGTTTGACTGGAACAAAAACCTACATATGCTCAGCCCAAACTTCGTTATTTATCACTACTAAAGTGATGAATCATGTCAAACTCATAATAATGTTTATTTAAGGGGTTTCAAATTTAATTTAATTAAAAAATGTATATATGGAAGCATGTTTCTCCCCAAAATAAACATTAAAGATTTCCATCGGTGGAAAATAACTATAATAACTAAGTACATACTAAGTACTGCAGTTAAGAACAATTTTGAGATACTTGTTAGAGCTGGATTTAATGTCCAGTATGATATGAATCTTCAATTTACTGTCATACTGTTGCATAGCTGAAACAACTTCTGTAACACTTGTTAGTGGTGGAGAGTGCTACAGTCGAGGCAAATGTGCATCGATAGTGGAGCCTTAATTACTGCGTTCCTTCTAACTAATGGTTCTAACTTTATAACACTTAACAATTAAATATGAGTCAGTTTATAGTGCTTATACAGCTGCTTTAAAATGTTTAAAAGGAAGCAATGTTAATGTTGTTAAGGTATCTTGTATATTTTTATATTCTGTGTTTACTACGCTGAAGATTGAACAATAAACTGCACTTACTTGTACTTTCTATTTTGACTTCACTTTTACCTCCACCACACTTGTTTGACAGCAGTAGTAAAATGTTACTCTGATTGATAAAATTATTATTAATGCAAAATATGATTAACAAATACATGATGGTGTTTTATTACAGAAAAAGCTACCCAATAGTCTATAACATAGTTAAACCATCAGCTGTAACATTCAGGTGATACTTTAATGCATCAATAACTATAACCCCATTATGTAATTTATATTATATTAGTCATTCTGCATTATGAATACTTTTACTTTGTACTTGTACTTTAAGTAGATTTTTATGATAATACTTTTGTACTTTTACTTCCTAAAAAGTTGACTTTTACTTGGAACAGAGTATTTTTACACATAGATTTTCCACTGCATGCAGCATTTATCGATTTGATTTCTGTCTTTATTTTGTTCCAGCCATCTGTCCGCTGTTTAAAATCAACATCCCAAAGCAATAAAATCTCCAATCTCTGCTTCAAGTTGAGCAACCTCTGAGTACTCACCTGGGGCCAGGTTTCAGGTTCTTCCTCAAAGCTGAATTTGTTCCAGTGCAGTAAACCTAGCGGCCTCTCTGTCGGCTCTGGGCTCTTTGGGTTAACGCTCTCTGGGCTCTGTGCGTGTTTGGGTCCTGCGGGTTCTTCAGCGGGCTGACGTTGTGTCTCAGCTGTGTGGTTCTGTTTCTGGCTTTGTACTACTGTTTTATTAAGATTGTCTCTGACCATCCTACAATGGAGAATCCTCCTCTTGACTGCCTGTTGCACCACTTCCTCCACTTTTCACCGGCAGATGCTCCATCATTGACTCCTCTAAGGTCGGTCATCTGTTGCTTAGTCCTCTTTGAGACTCCATGTTTGTTTGAGATTTTAAATCAAGTTTTATCAACATTAACACAAAGTGCTGGAGGGGAGCAGAGTCTGGATCTTCCCTTAGAGAACTATCACTGCAAAATCTGATGAGCTGGAACCCAGAAAGAAGAACACAGAAAATCACAGTCAGAATCTTGTATTCTTCTACATTTCACATCATCTTCAACCTGCTTTAACTGATGTTTTTGGCCACTTTGGGGGACAAACAGTTGCTTCTTTATACATCCAGCAGTTACAGAGCAACATTATCACTAGGTAGGAATTGTGTTTGTGTCCACCTGATCCACCTGACCAATATTCACTCTCTTTTAGCCAGTGCTAAAAAAAAAGTGGCACCAAGTACAAGCACCTCTGATTTTTGTCCACATTAGTACCCTTACTTCTTATTGAGTACCACCACCTCTGAGGTCCAGATCTTGGAATTGTTTCCGAGGGGTATACCAATAAAGTCGTGAAGAAATTCCTATAAAAATAACTTTGATGCTTTGATGTATGTCCCCAAACCCTCTCAGCAAGTTCAGTTTTTGACCTCTGTATTTCTAAAACCCTGCGTACAGCGCGCTGCTGAGGTACTCCGAAACATCCGCCTATCTGTGTCTCAGCACTGAAAATGTCCTTGTTAAAATGCATTAAAAACAACAGCAGAATTGGGGTAATAGCACCTTTTGTGGTCCAATTCAGGCACTGTTGTTAGCTCTGTTTTCAACTCCTGAGGAAAATATCTAGCTCTGTAAGCTGCTAAACGCGCCACTGTGTTCACCAGCTAGTCAGTAACTGTATCCGTCTGCTGTCTGGTGCTGGGCACGTAATGCACAGTGGGTTTTTAGAGCCTTTTCACTCATAACTGCTGCCAGCTGGGGCCAAAAATCACGGCCATGAGAGCAGTAAGAGTGAACCGGAACAGTAAAGTTTCCCGGCCAGCTAAACAATGAGCTGAAACCTAATACAAAGCTCTGGAAAATTGCAGATTCACATAATAATATAACAGTTTATATTCTATGAATGACCCATTTCACATTGTAATTGGATACACTGTTGATTATAGCTGCGCTAACTCCACTGCATACTCTTGCAACACATGCAATCCATTCTCTCTGTGTGTGTGTGTGCCCGAAACAGACTCATAGGTCATGTGACTGCCAATAAACCACACGTTTGTGTATCGCTGGGAAGGGCGGATGTAACATGACGATTAAAGAGGAACGCTTTCACTTTCTCAGTCAAACAAGACAAAAAAAAAAGAACTGGATCAGATTTCCTCTGCATTGTTCTTCATGTTTATCTGCGTAAGATTATCTTACATGTCAGTATATGCTGTGGAAGGTTTATTTATAAGGCTGCTTTCCAGAGTAAAGCCTGTAAAGTGTCACAAAATGAAAGATAAAAGCTACCGACCTAAAATACAAATACAATATATGAAAACAAAGACTTAATAAAATGTACATTTAATATGTTGCATAACTATATAAGGCGATAAGTATACTTATATAAATATATAATACCTTTTTTGTCATCTCTTTTTCTGTTGTTATGTATGTATGTAATGGACTTGTAAGATTTTGCTTAATTTTACTTTTATGTTTTAAAGCACTTAACTTTTTCTTTAGAGAAGTTCCCTATTAAGTGTAATATTCATTAAATTAGCACATTTATTACATAGATTATAGTGCTTAATTAATTATTATTAATTACTCACATAATTACAACCTAATTACAAGAAGATAAGGCTGTTTTATTGTTCTTTTGAATGCTCTTCATATTGAGCATTTATTTCTTTAAAAATAATCAGCTTTAATGTCGCTTCGACACATATTTAACATCCTCAGTCTCAAATCATATGAACTTATCACATAACATATAATCACATATCTTATTTTTGAAGAGGCAGGCTGCGTTTGTTTCAGTTTAAAGTATCCTGTGTGGATCTTTTTCTATTGTAATAAGATATTTTCTATTGCAGTTTTGTACTCGCACTAGATTAGAAATGAAACAATGACTATGAGGTTTAACTTTCAGTTGAATGGTTAGTTGTGTAAAAAAAGACATTTGTTACAGCTGGCAGTGCAGCAGACTGGGATACTATTCCTGCACTGTGGACGCAAAAAGTGGACGTAAACACGCTGAAATGAAAGCTGCAAGTCACTCCTTTAAGTCTAATTTTCCCCCCTAACAATCTAGAGTGCTGGAGCTCAGAGAAACCACATCACAAACTGGCTGAATGTCAATATACTGAGAAACTGCACTGCAGGAAAAAAGGTTCAACAGGCAGCAAAAGGGTTTAAAACACTGGGCAAACATCTGTACAGATAAACCCTTTGTAATACATATTCTACTGTTGTAACACAAATCTACACATTGTGTCATTTTAATTAGGCAATATGACTGTGGTTGAATCTATGAGTAAGGCTGTCACTCTCCACACCTAACGGGGAAATAAAAATGTCTTAATTTGTGTGTTTTAAAAAAACCCTACAAATATTAAAGCTATAACACAATAAGAGCCTCCAGTAAAAAAAAAAAAAGATCCATGTGTGTGTTTTCTGGATTTACAATTGTTGTACCGGTTGAGTTGACACGAGCACAGTCACATGTGTTCAAATGACTCTTATTTGAAGAATGCATGAATTAAACACAGAGCAGAGTTTTACTTACAATGACTGGAGCTTGTCGGAGCCGCTGTCAGCTTCTCTCCAGCCGAAAGGTCGCAGGTCTTCTTGAGAAGAAACATCTTACTTTCGGTTAAAGTTTGCTGTGTGTGTGTGTCGGGGGCGGGGCCGCTGTTTGAAATATATGGCGATAACAGACATTAGGCTCGGGCTCGGTCCTGTTAAACGGGAGACGCTCTTTTTAACCACGCACTACAAAAAAAAAAAAAAAAAAGAAACGAAAAAAAAAAAACCTCACAAACGTTCAGGTGTTTCAGCTTTCGCTTTCATTTTGGCCCTGCAGATTTCTCTTAAATCACGTGATCTGCGAGCAATGAGTGGCGCGTGAGCGTGTGCGCGCGCACTACCAGGCTATTTATCTACATAGCCTATATACATGTGGCTTTTCATTGGGTCAGACATCACGCACAAATGATTATAACGTTGAAACACAATGCATTCCGTGTGCGAGGTTAACGGGTTTGCATTTTTTTTTTTTTTTAAAAAAGCACTCAGCTTTTCAATGGAGATGAGTAACAACAGAACTATGCAAAACACTCCTTCCTGTCAAAATGAATGTGAAACGTTAGATGATGGGAACACACTCAGCATAAACATGAAGAGACATCAATAACTTCTCTGATGAGTGTCATTACAAACAGATAAAGGCTGTAAAACATAAAGTACATCTGCTAAAAGGTCTAGTGTGTAACATTTATGAGGGATTATTGGCAGAGGTTGAATATGCATGAATGTGTTATTATCAGTGTATAACCTGAAAATATGTTAGCTTGGAATGAGCTTTTTCTGTATCTACTGACCACGGGTCACTTTCCGTGTTTCCACAGAAGCCCAGAACGCACAACAACAGGCTTCAGATACGGACGTTTTTCACAGCCACCGTAGTTTCTACTTTGTGCTCGAAAGGGAAGGGGGATCTGCAACTACACCTCTCTAAATGCCACTAAATCCTACAGACTGGACATTTAAAAGAAAAGTACATTCAATATGTAAGATCGAGCATTGTTTTAACATTCACATTTCAAATGCAAATAATCTCTTAGCTTGTTCAAAAGGCAAAAAAAATACACACCTTCAAACAATGTCTACAAGCTCAGACATGACCTGGGTTGCATTCAATAAATCACTGTACCTTTCTTTTAATTTTTAATGCGGTGTGTTGTGGTGACTCTGCTTATTTTACATTTATTTTAAATTGCAGAAGATGTTCTCAGACCCAGAGGGTGAGCCCCTTGTCTATCAAAACCTGCATAAAGCTAAACGTACGCTAAAGAATCCCGCTTTGTTCATCAACTTGTGCAGTAAGTCTCACAACATGTTGCATCCGTTTTGTGATTGACATATTAAAAAAATTTAATATGGATAATTTAATAGTTTATATGAACAAATAAAAATACAATTCTGCTTTGGTTTCAGTTTCTTCTGCAGCAAATGGAGAACTTGTGGGGAAACTATTTTACTGCACACACATACAAAGACACTCTCTGGAGCCATGGTAACCAGTGTGAGGTCTCATAATAGCACTGAATACTGATCAGAGAGCATCGAGCATTTACACAGCATTTATTAACAAAGTACAACTTTAAAGTTCCACTCACTCCGAGGTAGTAGCACTTTCTGTTTCTTCATACCATATATAATGCTTGTCAAGTATAAATAATGCGTATTGAGTATAAACATCGCCGTAAGAGGTCGATCTTTCAGGCCGTGGAGCTGGATGTCTGGTTCTCTTTTTTGCTTTGCCTGTGCATCAAGTAGGCAGCAGCTGCTGTGGCAAAGATTCCATAAGTGACCAAGACACACTGTAAGAGAGCAGAGAAATAGATATTTCTGACCGAGGAAACTTCATATGTAAGAAAAACATTCTAAACGTTGCTATTGAATGGAGCCTGGGTGTGTATGGTTCAGTATTATGTACATTTCGGCGACCCTGCAGGGTGTAGCTATTAAAGTATTTCCTCCAGCCAGTCAGTTCCACAGAAGCGGGGACCTCAATGCCAAACAGCTGCCTCTGAAACACACACAAAAAACCCCCAAACACACACATAGTAAGAGGAAACGCTGAACACTTGATATTTATACACATTGTCACAAGTTAGATTCAAATGTAGGAGGAGGAGGAGGAGGTGGTAGGGGATTATAGACAAAGTATTGGTGTTTATAAAGACTTCATGTATAGTCAATGTGCCTTACACATTCTCTTCAAGACCTTGCAGGGTTTCTTTGGGATTGTTGGTTGTTGTTGTTGGTTGTTGGTTTCACAATAGCTGTTCCCAAAAAAATTGCAATGCACGTTGCAAAGTTTTCAGGCTTTTTTTTTTCCGCAATGAAATTGTAGGAGAATGTGAAAATAGTTGTAGGTTTTTTTGTGTGTGTCTGTAATTCGTTAAAAATGTAAGGCAACTTGTTCCGGTGCGAATAAAATAGTTTGGACAGGGCATCATGTCTGCATACTCTGCATCTTCACAACTACAAACAAGGCGGTGAGTTTGGTGACGTATGGCTCAGCGTACGTACGATTGGTCAAATTTGCTGAAAAGTTGCGGTGATTGGGCGAAATTGTGCAGAATTCACGGGGTACTTAGACACATTGGTGCAAATTAACTGTTGCAATCGCGACTTTGCAACTTCTTGGAGGGACTGATTAAAACACACAGAACAAATCCTATAAAGTTTAAAAAAGGTAAAAAGGTATACAATATGAACATAAATGAAAATGAAAGAAAAAACTGTTAACCACAAACCCAACGTGACATGAATGAACCGCGAGCGCCTGTGGCTCGGGAGGTAGTGCAGGTCATGCATTTATTGCAGGGTTGTGGTCTAAGTGTTGCTCTTGGTGGGCAGGCCAGAGCTTTGCATTGACAGATCCGCCAAAATTGGTGCATGAATGGGTGAAGGACGGAGTCGATATTGTACAGTGCTTTGTCTGTTATGGTAGAACAGTGCTGTACTTTGTCTGCATCCAGCTCAACAATCAGCCTGAAAGCTATGCCAACTCGAAATGAATGTGAAACAATAAATGATTTACAATTTCTTTTCATTGTAGGTGAAGGATGATGCCAAAAACACGAGTAGAATACAATTCAGAAGCATGTTGAAACAGGCGGTTTGGTTAACTGGCATGACGAGGCAGAACTGTGGTGAGAAACTGGTTTATAGTCATGCAAGTCACTCTAAACATAGCTTCTGAATTATATTAAACTGAATAATTCATCAGCCGGAGGTCCAGCTAATCATCTGGACTTGGCTGGCAGCACAGACTCTCCACTCTTTGAGAGTTGGACTGTGTGATGAAAGCTTAAAGCTGTAATTCCCTTTGGTTGAGGGGTCCCTTTAATGCGTATACCGATGACAAATATCTACATTTGGCAACATTAGCTGCCACAGACGTGACAGGTTATGTAGGTTATGTGCTTTTGCTTTCGTTTCCAGTCTTTGTGCTAAAATAAGATAAACTGTCTTGTGACTCCGGCTTCATGCTCATTGCTACAGACATCAGAGTTAACGTGAGTCAATATTTTCAATTGTGTTTCCCAACATGTTCTATTATTCCTTTATTATGTTCTATGCATTACAATAACAGTGCAGAACAACTGATCAACTGTACAATGACCACCAGCGAACTAAATGACTGCAGGAAGTTTGAGCAAATTGTGAGCAGATTATTTCCTGTGAATGTTGCATGAGAGATTCTTATACTTACAGATTAATAGGTTTCCCTTCCTGACAGCAGGCTGTTATTCTATTAGCTCTACTTTTCTTATGCAGGAGGAGGTTGTTTATCAGGTACTGAAGGCTCTGTGAACATAGCTTGTGTTCAGGTCTTCAAAGTTTAGATCTTAAATAATAATATCAACTTTAAATTTCATTTCATTTAGTTTTATTAGACCCCCTTCAAGAAGACCTCGTGACCCCCCTGTGAAGCTTTGGCGACCCCTTGTGGGTCTGCACTGCCTTAAAAGGGCGTCTATGTGAGCTACACAGCAGTAAAACGTCTTTAAAAAACTATATAAAAAACCACTATCATGCACTTCATCTGGAGCATCAAGGGGTAAATGCAGAATATAAGGATTCATGTGAAAAGAGAAATATTTTCCATTCATTCATCCATCAATCAGACTTGCATGAACTTGCCGGGGGCGACGGCAGAGTGCTGCAGAGTCAGCTCTGCTCAGTAATGCTGATTTATTCTGCAGCGGGTAATGACATTAGCAGAGTAGAGAAGAAATGCTTTTTTTCCCCCCCGGGAGAGTCGACTACATGAAACCTCATCGCTGACTGGAGCAGGATGGGTTAGAAGATGGCTGTTATTTAGCAGTTAATAGCTATGCTGTTGATTTTGTTACTAGATACTATGATTTAATGGTTTTCATTGTAAATCCCACATGGGCTTTTACAGCCACTTCACATAAGTGAAAAGTGGCTGTGAAGCAGGAGCCCTACAACTGACAGCGGGGACATTAGAGGGATCCAACAGGTTGCCGTAGTATTGGAAATATCACTAAGCAACAGTTAGCCTCCAACAACAGCTACTCCAACCATTATTTAGGCTACAATACGTCTCTTAAAAAAGGTGTAACATTTC